AAAAAAATTATTTGTTAATACTGATGTAAAAACTGCTTTGACTTAAAAATGATTTGTCAAAAAGTCACAGAAATAGCATCACACATACCACTTATTCACTGCACCATGCATAGGCAAGCTATTTTAGTGAGAAAGTTGCATTTAGAAAAAAGTACTATCTGGGGTTAAGTTTTCATTAAAAAGAAGATTTTTAAAGTGCAGTATCTTTCTAAATGACATTTGGTAATAATATCAAAAGTGAAAATTGGAAAAAAATTTTGTGGCATGCAGAATTTTTTGAGTTAGATCATGGAAAAATACTTGGAAGATTTGTCATACTTAAACACATTTCTTTTATTAAAAAGATAAGTGTTTCAAATTTGCAAACATGTGTGTGTGATATGTGAGTCAATAGCATGCTATCTGCCAGATGACACTTCACCTCTCCGCCAAAGGAAAGAGAAATGAATAAATAAATAAATAAACATTTAATCTGTGTTCATAGGCAAAGTAGATAGTTTAACAGAGAATGAATAAGTGACTCCTTTTGGTAGAAAATAAAAAGGGAAAGAAAGACACACTAGAGAAAGAAATTTCTAAATTGGATGTTTAAAATTGCTTCCATAATTAAATGTTTTATTTTTTAGCAAAAAATTATATAATTATTTCACCTATAAAAATATTTAATACATATATTTAAAATTTAAGACAATATTTAGTACTCTATTTTCATAATCAAAATGAAGAACTCTAGTAGAGTTTGTATCCATTCATTAAAAATATAGACATACAATTACAATTTGTATGCAAGAACAATTACATGGACATTTCCTAACTAAATTTCAAAGGTGGCTTTTGTGCTCTATGTAATAGGTAGTTAGAATTGACCTCTAAGTAACTAAATTTAAAAGGTATAGCCCAGAATGTATTCTTTGATTTGGATCTAAATACTCCAGTCATAAATCTTTTTTTTCCTTATAACCATCATTGAAACAAGCTTTTAAATAAATGGAACTTAGAACTACACCATCACGGTTATATCACAAAATGATAAACCAAGATTTTCAAAAATAAGAGAATATTCAATGACATGGGGATCACTAAATATATTTTAGGAAGAATAAAAACACTTTTGGACTATTTATAAATAAATATTAAGTAAAATACTTTTGAAAAAGCATTACTAGTTTCAATTAACTTATTTTTTAAAAAATCTTTTATAATGTGCATAGATTCATCAGTGAGGATTCTGTAGCCTGAAAGAAATAGACTACGATAGATTAAGAAACAAACATATGCATTAATTATTCAAGAACTCTAGAGTTAGGTAGTGCTAGAGTTGGTCCAGCAGCTCAGTAGTTTCCTCAGGAATCCTCTGTTCTGCCACTCCACCATTCTCATTATCCTTATAATTGCAACTTCCATGACATCTGCAGTACCTTTAGGCTCATGTCCTTAAGCAACTGCCTCCAAAGTCAGCACAAAGGAGTCGGCACAATAGATGGCTCTCCTTTTTAGCAATGGTCTTGTTTTTAGAGAAAAAAAACACCTTTCCTGGAAATCCCTGGCAGACATCATTTGTATTTCATTGGCTCCTATTGATTCTCATGATTACTTTCAGACCAAACCACTGACAACAGGAGAGAAGGGTGTTCTGATCTGAGACTAAGAATGATCAGTCCCCAAGGACTGTGCCAATCACCAACCAAGTAGAATTGATGTTCAGTTAACAAGGAAGAAAAGAGGTATATCAGCCAGTCAGACAACAAAGCTTCTACACCTAGAAGCTATTAGTACAGTAGTTCATACATATAATTTATAGGGAATAAATATGTCTATATTGGTGGTATGTGCTTATTTTTATTTTTTTCTGATAATTGTATGTTATCAAGAAAGTTTTACAATTGTGGGTATACCTTACCCCTAGTGATATTTGTGAGAAAAAAAAAAAGATTTAATTTTAAAGTTTATAATGAATCACTTAAGAAAGTTAATCAAAAATATGTCATCAATAAGTAAAAAAACAATTCTTTCTAAGGGAATTAAAAATTGGGGATGGCCTGTGTATTGCAATCTTTGTTTTCCCATTTAATATGACATTTGTGTTTGAAGGAAAACTATTGAGATTTTAAACATTTTAGATGAACTTAAAACTATCAAAGAGTTAGGAAAATATCTATGGTAGCTGTCACTTTGGATAAATAACCTTCAATACATTAAATAACCAATTTGACAATAATAAAGCATAAGAGTCTTATACAATAATGGTCCAGAAAAAGTATTAGATTTCTCTTTACCTCCAATCCTGACATAAGGAATCTAAAAAAAAAAAAAGTGGATTTTTAGTTTATTAAATGTTTACCATTAAATATTATATTCATTAAATGTAAATTAATTTTAAATGAACATCAAAATAGAGTCATGTGGTTAGTAAATCAACAATATTTATGTGTAGAGATTTATAAAAATGGCTGTAGTCCTTAAGAATGCAGATAGTCCAATGAAAATAACAGGACAAATACAAATGGAAAAAGATTTAACTAAGAATATATAATGGGGAAATATACAAAGTAAATGGCAAACTATCCATCTATAAAGAACAAAGTACACAAATGCTCAAAGAAAGCTGAAGAGTGTGGAATAATTGAAGCCCAATGGAAGCAGACAGTAAAGGATTTATAAGTGATGTCAATATTTTACTCATTAATTGAAGAGGGTAGCAGACTTCTAGTTGAGAAACAGAGATCATATATCCATCTCAGTTAGCCTGGAAGAGTCCCAATTGGTGCTGACCATCATTGCATTCTGATTTAGATTAGTCTTAGATGTTTCATCTTTTTTTTTTTTTTACTGAATGTTATTACTGCTCTTGCTGTAAGATAAGATGAAATGGTTTTGTTAGACCTCTGCTTTGTATTTCCAGCTTCTGAATTAGCTTCCTCTAGTAGTGAATGAGATACACGAACAGCAGACATAGTTTTCATTCTAATATGTGGATAAATACAAAAGTCAACTGGTGATAACCTGCTGCTCTATTTCAACCTTTCCAGATGCAGGTTAACCATCCTCTGCCTTCAAGACAATGACATGCAGGACATTTGCTGATAAAACAAGGGTGCTGGGATAAGGTGTCTCGTCTGGTTGCTAGGTACAAGGAGGTAAAAGCAACATTGGACACTGCTACTTTTGCTGGCCACTGAGCATACTACATGGTTTTGTTGTATTTACTGCCTGAGAAATGCCCGAAAGCCACCAGGCCACCTGCCTACACAGACTGTGGGGAATATAAACAAATAATACAGGTTAGATATATTTGAAATATACACAGAAAATAGAGGTCATTGAACTCACAGGTTCCTGAGGTTTTTACTGAAGTGCTTTTATGATTTAACATAAAATCATAGTTATTTAATTATTTTATTTTTGGAAACCCATTTTTATTTTCTGATAAAATAATTTAGCAGCAGTGAACTAGTTTATGAGAATTTACTTTTTTTTAAAGTTTTTATTATAATTCTTTCATATTTTTAACTTTTCTGCTTTTGTTTCAGGGATTTTTTTTGTCTTTCATTTTTATTTTCTATACATTTTTTTCTTTCTAATTTTTTTGTAAATAAATTCTACACACACATGGCTCACAAATCAATTCTCAAAGCTGAATGGTTAACAGGAGCATAAATTCAGGTTTGAGCCAGCTCAGCTTAGCAGGCGTGTCTGTTCCCAGAGAAGGTGTTACTAATGTCTATAGAGATTTTTTTCTAGACTAAAAATGTCCTTTACTGAGGGAGAAGAACAAGGCCAGAGGTATCACTCTGCCTGACATCAAATGATACTACAAAGCATCAATAATCAAAACAGTATAGTATTGGCAGAAAAACAGACATACAGACCAATAGAACAGAATTGAGAGTCCAGAATTAAACACTCATATATGTAGGCAAATAACTTTCAACAAATGATCCAAAAATATACAATGAAGAAAGCCTTTTCAAAATATGGTGCTGGGAAAATCGGAAAGCCTCATGCAAAGAATGAAACTAGACTGCTATGTATCACCATACACCAAAATTAACTCAAACTGGATCAAAGGCCTGAATATAAGACCCAAAACAATAAATTGCATAGAAGAAAATATAAGTACTAAACTCATGTACTTTGGAATTAGAGAGGATTTTATTAATTTTATCTCAAAGGCAAGAGAAATAAAAGCAAAAATAAATGAACGGGACTATATTAAACTAAAAAGCTTCTACACAGGAAAAGAAACAATCCACAAGGCAAAGACGTAACCATCTGACTGGGAGAATATATTTGTAAACAACACCTCTGATAAGGGCCTAATTTCCAAAATATATAAAGAACTCATACAACTCAACAATAACCCAATCAAAAAATGCGTGGAGAACCAAACGGACACTTCTCCTAAGAAGACATACAAAAGGCCAAAAGACATATGAAAAGATGCTCAACTTCACTAGCTATTAGGGAAATGCAAATCAAAACACAGTGAGATATCACCTCCCACCAGTTAGAATGGCTGTCATCAACAGGACAAGTAATAGCAAGTGTTAGAGAGGTTGTGGGGAAAAAAGAGACCCTCATACACTGCTAGTGAGAATGTAAATTGTTACAGACACTATGGAAAATAGTATAAAGGTTCCTCAAAAAAAAAAAAAAAAAAAAAACAAGAATAGAATAACCATATAATCCAGCAATCCCTCTTCTGGGTATTTATCTAAAAATCTTGAAAACATTTATCCGTAAAGAGATGTGCACCCTGATGTTCACAGCAACATTGTTCACAGTGGCTAAGACATGGAAAAAACTGGTGTTCATCTACACATGATTGGACAAAGAAGATGTGGTATATATATATACAATGGAATATTATTCAGCCATAAAATGAAATACTGCCATTTACAGCAACATGGTCAGCTCTTGAGATTATCATGCTTGGTGAAATAAGTCAGACAGAAAAAGTTTAGAACTATACGATTTCATTCATATATATGTAGGATATAAAACTGAAAGCAACAAACAAACGTGACAAACAGAGACTCATAGACACGGACAGTGGATTAATGGTTACCAAAGGAAAGGGAGACTAAGAGTGAGGTAGATAGGGGTAAAAGGGGTCAAATATTTGGTTTTTGAAATTTAACCTTGGATGGTGAACATACAATGTAATATACATGTGACATATTATTGAATTGTACACTTGAAACCTATTTAATTTCATTAACCAATGTCAGAACCATGTAAAACTTACCTTCTGGATTTCTGCATCCCAGGAAAGTAACATGTATATGTAACTTTTACACACTCTCATTGACATTTATCTATCTTGGGCCCATGGATCAGGTAAAAATTAGAACACCTAATCTGCTGAAAAGTCATCAGCCTCAACTTTGAATACGAGTAGATAAGACTCTGCTGGAAATAACTTTTTCTAGAGTAAATAACTATTATTCCCAATTAATTTATCTAATTTTTAATTCTTGTGCATTTAAAAAGTGAGGATAGAGCAGTGTTGGCTCTATTTGTAGAACTTTCCATCAGTTAAATGATGTAAGTTTGATAATCCTGTTATCAGATATTTCAAATAGAATATTAATCACAATAATATATGATTTTTCACACAATCTATTGAATCAAGGGTGAGTTTTGATATTTCTTTGAAATATCTAACATTGTGAATGCAAAAATTCAGATAAAATTCCATATTTAGAATTAAATTACATTAAGAAGCCTATAAAGCAGAAATATTTTTGTAATTAGTTGTGTGGCACATATAATTGACAAGTATATTCAGACAAGCTGCATAATTCTAGCCACTGAAATAGA